TTGAATAGTGGTGTACTTTTCTGCTTTAGTTCCACGCCGCAAACATCTGTTAAGTATTTGATTTTGAGTTAGGCTAAGACGGGTGAACGATTTCTAACCTTCATCCATGCAACTTCAACTGCTTGATCTTGTATGGCGGATGCGTGTAAAGCTAAGGCGAGAACATCAGTTTGAAAAGGAACCGCTCTCCATCCGTGTACCTAGTTCTGGAATCGTTGAGGCGAATCGTGCGCGGCGCCGAAGCGAGCTCCCCATCTTAAAGAGGAGGCGCCTTTCATCCGAGTGGCTGCTGCCTTCCTCAGGACGACCCTGCGCGGCTCCAAGTCGAGAGCCCAATGTTTCAGAGGACGCCCTTGACCCGTGTTTCCTGTTACGGCGAGCGTGCGCAGCGCCGACGCGAGCCCTTCCGTCCGCATTTTTGTCCGAAGTTCCAAGCTCCACTATCGTAAGTGGTGAGGAAGTCTTAGGCCTCAGGCGAAACGCCCTGCCCGCCCTGTCGACACGTCTGGTGGTGAAGCAGGGAGGAGCCATCTACAAAGAAGGAGGATGGCAGGTGACGACGAGGACAAGGCGGTACGATGAGGATCATTACGACCGACGAGGACGAGGAGGATGACGGTGGAGGAGGGTGACGGGTACGACGCGGAGGAGGACGATGACAATATTGAAGAGGAGGAAAGTTGGATGACCCGGAGGAGGACGCAGGAGGAAGACGAGGACTGAGTGGACGAGGACGATTGGGGAGGAGGACGAACACAAAGAGAACGCGGAGGAGCAGGACGACGAGGATACTGAATATGACGACAGCAAAGATAATGTCAACGAAGAAGAAGGAAATGACGAACTCGACGACGACGACGGCGACGACCACGACCACGACCACGACCACGACAATCACCACGACCACGACCACCACGACCACGACGACGACGACGACGGCGTCGACGACGATGACGACGGCTGGACGAGAGAGTGGCGAGTCGGGGGGGCGGCCTTTGACGGGGGGCTCGGTGTTTCTTGGAAGGCGAACTTCTTCTGACAAGGGGCACGCGGAGGCTTTTGAGGTGGTGTCGTAGGATCTCAGCTCAGACGGCCCCTGGCCTCTAGGAAGCACCCCGCCTCTCTAGAAAGGCCGCCCCCGACGCGCCCACCCCCGGCGCCCGCCCGCGCGCGCGCGCCCGCGGAGGCCCTCAGGGGCTCGCTCGAGGAGCGAGTGGAGCGCTGCGAGGAGGAGGCCTCCTGGCGTCGTGCCGAGGCGGTCTCGCGGGGTGGACGAGGACGCGGAGGAGGAGGAGGAGGAGGAGGAGGAGGACGAGGAGGGCTGGGCGGGGTGGGGCTGGCTCGGTGCCCTCGCGCCATGTTTGAGGTCGCACCCCTCTCGCCCATCCCTTGACGCTGCGCGGGGTCCCTCCCTGACCGCACAGCCGGGCGTCGAGGAGGACAGCGGTCCCCAACGGGTCGGAGGGGGGGGGGAGGCGGGGACGAGGGGGTGGACAACAACGAGCAGGAGGAGGAGGAGGAGAAGGAGGAGGAGAAGGAGGAGGTGGAGGAAGAGAACGGACTCGAAGACGCCTGCGGCGAATCACCGCCGCCCCCTGCCTTTCAGGATATGCCCACGAGGCCAAACGTTTGGGCACAGTTTGGCCACGCTATTGGACCATGCGCTCACCCAGCCGTTGTGGAAGCCCTTCGGGGAACACGTGGGGGAAGAAGATGAGGACGAGGAGGAGAGGGAGGAAACAGGAGATAATGGGGAGAGGCAAGAGGAGGCCTCTTGGGAGCTTCTAGGGGCAACTCTTGGGGCCTCCGGGGAGCTTCCCTGGAGCCCTTTGGAGGTCCTTGGGAGCCGCCTCGGGGCTCCAGGGGCCGTTGGGGGCTTCTTGGGGCCTTTGGGGGTTTCTTGGCGGCCTGTTTGGCTGTCTTACGGCGTTCCTGGCCCGTCTGACGCCGTCGGAGAGACACACAGCCACACACACATACGCACGCAAGCACGCACGCACGCACGCACGCACGCACGCACGCACGCACGCACGCATGCACAAACACACACACACACACACACACACATACGCACGCACGCACGCACGCACACGCACACGCACACGCACACGCACACGCACACACACACACATACATACACACATACACACTCACACACATACGCACGCACGCACGCACGCACGCACGCACGCACGCACGCACGCACGCATGCACACACACGCACACGCACACACACACACACACACACACACGCACGCACGCACGCACGCACGCACGCACGCGCGCACGCGCACGCGCACGCGTGCACGCGTGCACAAACACAAACACAAACACACACAAACACAAACACAAACACAACCACAAACACAAACACAAACACAAACACAAACACGCACACTGACTCTGACACAGACACAGACACAGACACTGACACTGACACAGACACAGACACAGACACAGACACAGACACTGACACAGACACAGACACAGACACAGACTCGCACAAACACAAACGCACGGCCGCACGTACGCACGCACGCACGCACTCGCACACACGTACACACACACACACACGCACATACGCTTTAGGGCGTCGCGGCCGTGCGCAACCAGCGACACGGTCGGGACTCCTACAGAATGTGTACGCCGCGCAGAATCACAGATGCAGCTGCACATTATCGCGGGTGGTGATTGCGGCCAGAGAAATTGTCATGTTGATGATTGGCCGATTCAAGACCGTGGCCATGCTGATGGCGACAGAGGTGATGACACTTGTATCTTGGCCTCGTTGTTTTGGCGATGATGTTGGTGGCCGTGATGGTAGTGGTGGCCATGATAATTAGTTGTGCCATGATTTCTAAGGTGGTGTTGTGGATGATGGTGGTGGCGACGATGACCGTCGCCACCATGGTCGTGATAACGACGGCGACTACGGTGGACGATGGTGACGATGGCCAGGGTAGCAACAACGACGACGACGACGACGACGCCAGCGCTGGCGCCGGCGACGGCGACGACAGCGGCATGGACCGCGGCGGCGACGATCGCGGCCTTGCCATGGCCGCCTCGGTCCGCTCGCGAGGCCGAGCACATGGCCGAGCTGAGGCGCGAGGCTGAGGCGGGACCCCCGGGGGGTGCTGGGGCGAGCCCCCCATCCTCGCTGGCAGAGGCCATGGCGCGAAGAGGGCGCCTCGGAGGGCACGTCGGCGGGCCTTGCCGGGCTGCCGGCGGCCTCTACCTCTGAAGGCCATCCGGCGCCTCGGCCCCCGGCAGGCGCCGACGGGTGGGGCATGCGGGGGGCATCTCTTTGCGGCAGTTCGGTTTGCTTTCGTGTCGAGCATCCCGAGAGAGGCGCAATTGTCGGAGGCGCATCCCGAGGCTGGAACGCCGCCGAGCACCGACGGAGGCGTCGGGAAAGCTCGGACCCCAGGGCTCGAGCTAGACTGTGTTCTGGCGATCTCGTGGACCGTTTTGGTGTTGATTCCGTGTTGCATGCAACACAGGCGGAACGAAGGCAGACCGATGGAAAACGACACCAACACGAAAACGGAAAACGAGGTTTTGCTCGCGCCCTGCCTCCAGGCCTCCCAGTTGGGTTCCGAGTAGACGGGGTCGAAAGATCCCGCCGCATCGCCGATGCATCGGTGAGTCGGCTCCATGTGGAGCCCGCCGTGCTCCACGCCGACAGCGCAGACGCACCGCCGACGTCGCCGCCGCATCGCCGATGCATCGCCGATGCGCCCACGATCCTCCGACCCCGTCTGTTCGGATCAAATTCTGACTTTGCCCTAGTCCGACATCCGGCTTAATTAATCCGGCTTAATTTCGCCCAATCCGCGGCCTAATCTGGCGTAGCAGCCCCCCAATGGGATGAGGACCTCCCAGTAGATGCCTCCTACTGTCTGGGAGACCTCCAGCGCCTCGAGCCTCGCACTTGGGCCGTCTGGAGGCCCTAACGACGTCTAGGACCGATCGTTCGGCGATTCGGGGTCCTCTTGGACCGTCTTGGGGGCTAAATGGGGCACCCTTGGCTCGTCTCGGGACTTTTTGGGCCCCGGGCCCCCCCAGGGGGGAGGGGTGTTATTCTTCCAGGACCCCACCTTTACCCACCCCCCGCGACCCTCCCCCCGGACCCCCCTCCCCCCCACCAGCGGGGAAGGGATCAGAGGGAAGAGGCTTCCCTTCAACTCCATTACGACGTTGCTGAATTTCGCTGTGGCTGACTTGCTTGAGGAGAAGGGCGCGATGAAAGACGGGGGAGAGGCGACGGGCGCAGGGAAAGGGGAGGCGCGGCGGCGACGTGGACGACGACGACGACGACCACGACCACGACGACGCGACGACGACGACGACGACGACGACGACGACAACGACGACGACGACGAGTCAAACGGAACAGCGCATTCCACACGCCGACAGGGTCGCCGGTTTTCATTCGGCCGCGTCCCTCCTCCCTCCTCCACCCGCACTGTGGCACAGCCCGGCCCAACGCTGCCCCCGCTCATGCCACTCATCGCCAGGGAGGGAGAGGAGGGAGAGGAGGGAGAGGAGGGAGAGGAGGGAGAGGAGGGAGAGGAGGGAGATGAGGGAGAGGAGGGGGAGGAGGGGGAGGAGGGAGAGGAGGGGAGGAGAGGAGGGGGAGGAGGGGGAGGCCTCGGCTCGCCGCGCGAGGCGCGGGGGCAGCGCGAGGCGGCGGCCGCCTCCAAGAGGCTCTTCGCCGTGCGGGCCGAGGCCCCGTCGGCGTCGCCGTCGACGTCGTCGCCGCCGCCGCTGGCGACGCCGCGGGCGACGTCGCCATCGTCGGCGCCGCCATCGGCGTCCTCGTCGTCGCCGCCTCGTCGTCGCCGCCAGTCGGCGTCGTCGCCGCCGCCGTCGGCGGCGCCGGCGACGTCGGTGCCATCGAGCGAGGATGAGGAGGGAAGAGAGGCGGAGGAGGTGAAGGCGGAAAGGGGGGCGAAGGAAGAAGACATGGATCAAGCGAGGAGCGAGGACGAGGATGG